AACAGCCACCCCTTTTGTTGGCACATCCAATCCAAACCCCCGAACTTCGGACTATCTACCCCGAGGCAAGAGGGTTTTCACCTCACTTTATATGCCTTTGTCTAAAGCTCTAGGGGTCCTACTCAGGAAAGGACATCTGAAACCGTTAAAACAACGGCCTCTGCCCGACCCTCTCCCTCCAAAGCATGACCCGGCTAAGTACTGTGCTTTCCATTAACAAACCAGTCATGACAATGATAGTTGCGTCCGTCTTCGCCACGAGATACAAAATTTGATTGACAACAAGGTCATCATCGCACCGGGTCCTGCAAAGTCTATCGGTACTTGATCCATAAACTCTTGGGGGATAATGTGACCATGTGATCGGGAGATGAACCACCTGCGGATGGCACTCAGTTCACTCCAGCTATGGGGATGGCACGCACTATTTTGAGCAATTGCGAATGTTGTTTACTTTACTTTCTGACTTGGGTATTGAGTCAGTCTTTTTGTACAGAGTCAGTCTTTTCTTACTGAGTCAGTAAGGTCTGTCTTGTTGTACCGAGTCAATCCTGTTTTGTTGAAGTCGGGTGATTTCGGGGGTGTTACCTCGGACATCACTTGCTCGTTTTGTGTTTGTCTTTTTGCCTTCTCTTGAGTCTGTTTCTGCCGTGGAGCCAGTTGTGCCAACAGATCTGAATGAAACAGCAATGATTTTCACACTCTTGTGTTTGCTTCTGCCTTGCGCCAGTTGTGCCAGAAGTTTAGAATGAAACGACGGTGCATTTCACCTACTCTTCTGTGCCTTGAAATTATTGCATTGACCTAAGTTTTTTAAAAACATTTTGAACACTGTGGTGAAAACGAAGATGAAGGAATTTCTCGGGATTTGAGAAAATTTGATCATTTGAGAAAAAGAGAGGCACGCTAAGCCCTTAATGAATGAAATCACGCTTGTTAGTGTGAGTACTGAGAAGGATCCTGGCTTGATCCAGATTGGTTCTACATTGTCTTCCGCGTGAGCGATTAATCGCTTTCTTAAAAGATTTTAAAAAATGTTTTGCGCTGTCCTACGAAGACTTGTGTGGAATCGCTCTTGAGATTATGCAGCTTATGATCGCTCTCAGCCTCAAGATTCAACCCCTTTGCTTCCAAACCTTGAACCTTAATTCAGAATGTTCAACGGTCAACCACAATGTAAGGCCCGTGTGGCCGGATCAGAAGCAGCCCATGAACTAGGGGCAAGAATATCAGATGTGATCAAAGGAAACTTGCGAAGCTAGATCAAAAGCAGCCCTTGAACTAGGATCATGCATGATTCCTAACTAGTTTCTTGTTTTGGTTCGAAGTACTAGGTAAGCTTTTATGCTTTAGCATCTTACATGAGTGTGAGTGTTGCCATGATAGCATGCTTACCATGAGGCTACGTGCTTATGTGATATAACTACATGAATGCCTGTAGGTGAAGGTTGGATTACTTGAATTGGATCAATTCATTGAAATCTGTGATTTAGCCTACTTGCGAGTAGCAAACTTCAATCCATTTTCAAAACAAACGGATATGCGATGCTTGTTCCAACTTAGGCAATCTAGTCTATACTTGTATGTTATGCGCATTACATAGTAATTCTAGGTTAATAACCGGAGTAAGAACGCATGTGTTTTCAAAAACTCGATATCATGGTTAGTAGAGGCCGATCTTTGATCAAGCGAGCGGGGGTGCTCACGAAGTGACTTTCCCCAATCGTACCCAAGTTCCCGAGCCGAGACAACTTTGGTGATGACGGACACGTGGCCTTAGGCAACGAGTCAGGGTTTCCTAAATTCCCTCAAAATAAAATATTTAGGTGGCGACTCTGTATCTAGCAAAGCAGTCCATGTTTGGCACTTCTTTCTAAAAATCTATTTTTCAAAACGATTTGCTGGATTTGGACTCTTTGGTGATTTATCGATCTTGCATTGTACTTTGTGAGATTAGATTCAGAACTGTGACATCGAGTCTGAACTGTGGTAGCATAAAGCCCGAGGACGCATCCACATTCCCCTAGTCACCATTGAATCTTGGCTTGGTACGCCATGGAGCCCGGGCATGGGCAAACTGCTGCCGCCTACTGTGGTTTGAGCATGTGTTACTGTGGCCGTGTTGCCATGAGCCATAGGCTGATTGGGGCCTACTTCTCCTTGGATTTGATTTTGCGCTCCGGCGGGAATAACTCCACCACCAGTTTGATTCCCGTTTGGCGCCGGTGCAAAGTTAGAACTCATCACCAACATGGTGTGAGTGAGATTCTGAAGAGTGGTAAGAATCTCTTGCTGAGTATTCTGAAGTCCTTGAATGGCTTCAAGCAAAAGTGGTTGATCTGGAGCCATGGTCCTGTCATCACCACCATTAGAGGATCCTTGTTGGTGAACTTCATCTTCTCCCGCCATCCTTGTTGGAGTTGTGTGGATTCCAGATCTCGTTGAGACCATTAACCAATCCGTCTCCCCAGTGAAGTCGCCAAATGTATGAGAGAGTTCAAGAACGTCATTGGAAAATTCGAAGATTTTCGAAGATCCTTGAAGAACAACTTCAAATTCTCTAGAAGATGATGAGAGGCTTAGATTCTTCAATAGTCTCAACTCAAGAACACAAGAGTAAAGGAGATGATGGAGAAAAGAGATTGGGTGAAGAAGAATGCAAAATGGCTAGAGAGAGAATAATGGCAAGGCTCTCTCATGGATCTCCCACTTTCACTCTCAAGGTTGATAATGGAGAAGGAAAATTAGTTCTTTCCCAAGAGTCATCTCTCCAAAAATTCATCCCTTGTAAAGCTATGGGTGGGTGCTATTTATAGACACCTCATGATGTAGGATGGAGCCCATGTGCAAAGCGACATGGGGGATATTCTCTCTAACCACCTTGTCCGAGGAGGTGACCTCTCCGAGGAGGTGACTTCTCCGAGGAGGTGACCTCTCCGAGGAGGTGACTTCTCCGAGGAGGTGACCTCTCCGAGGAGGTGACTTCTCCGAGGAGGTGACCTCTCCGAGGAGGTGACTTCTCCGAGGAGGTGACCTCTCCGAGGAGGTGACTTCTCCGAGGAGGTGACCTCTCCGAGGAGGTGACTTCTCCGAGGATGAGAAAACCCCGAAGAGGAGATCAATCCCTCGGCGAACCCTTCTTCTTAGCCACACCTAACCAATGATCCCCAATCATCCCAAAGGGCCAAG